CACCTAACTCCACAAATATCCAAAAACACATCGTTATTCTAGAACAGATTACAAATCGGCTGAAAATGGTACAAACAAGTGGCAACATGTGTGATGAAGGTGTTGGGCTGGGCTATATCATGCAATTGAAGGTGAAACTTAAGCTCGCTCCATTGCGGAGATATTCCCGCGAGAGTGCGGAAAACTTAAATAGATTAATTTATTTCAAATGTGAAATGTTACCAATATACTCATGGACCACTAGGGGGCGCTCATGGACAGAAGCACTGCTCTACTGTGACATGTTTCCATGCTTTAATGTTCAAAAAGCTCTTTATTTTTCTCATACTGCCTGTGCTGCAGCACCTCTTTTCACCCTCTGTCTGAAACCAGAGCCCAGTCTGCTCTGATTGGTTAGCTGGCCGGCTCTGTTGTGATCCCTTAGAGATGTGCCGCCCCTTAGCCTATCACTTACAATGTGTTGAAGCGCTAGCCAATAGAAGTGCATAGTGTTACGTAGTGATGTCACTATGTTACAGAAGTAAACAAAGGAGTCCAATCAAGGTGTTTCAGGTGTGTGGAAGAGAAACTCTCTCGCAACACAGGGATTTTAGCCTTTGCCGACCATGTACATGCACAAAAACCTATATGATAAAACGACATGAAAAGGAACATCCCAAAAAGCAACATAGGGCCTCTTTAAAGTCACGCAGAAATGTCCGAAAAACTGTTTCCCACCTGTCATATTTGGATTTGCTGCCCTCTCTGATTTAATATTGTATCAAAGTGACTTGGACTTATATTGTATCTATCCAAATCTCACAATATCAGGTGAATAAACACACACATTCACCACGTTGTATCCAAAAGTCTGCTGTATTTTGCAAACCAAGGTGTTAAGTTACACATTGAACCTCTGGGAGTTAGTTTCATACCGGTTGGGCTGGTTATTCTGTAAGAGCCCGTCTTCCGTTTAAATAAAAAAACAATAAAAAAGTGAACATGTGTTTTCGAAGCAGTTGTCTGAACATGCGTGGATATGATTTTGGTAGCAGGCTGAATTTCAAATAATCCAGGCCTCATAAATCACGGTGCTGAATGTCTGACCTGGCAGCGCGCTCCACCTGCTCAAATGTTCCCAGGATGTTTTCCATTTGTACACAACACACCACGTTGCCGGGATACGTCTGACACTAGCAGGAATTTTTCATAGTGTGCATATGGATTTCATTCTGATTTAATAAAACTCCTCAGAGGCGTTTACGTTTTTACCTGTACGACTTTTATACAAAATATGTCTGTATTGTAACATGAGTCACATGATACAACAGATTGATCTGTAATAGAGAATTAATCAATATTCCCAGAGTCCATTATCAGCCGTCTATTATGTGTATTCTTTGCAGCCATTTGCATTAGAGTGACCTATTTAAATAGGTTAGTTTTTAGCTGCTATAATCAATATTTTCACATTAGTAATAGGTCACATGGTATACAGTGAATACACTGAATGTTTGGATCATTGTTGTTGGCTTCACAACCTATCATGTGAGCACACCTTATTGTTTCCACATTAAACAAATCAATCTTTGTTGAGTTAAGTGCCCCCAGTGTTGGAGAACCAAATATGGGGTTAAAGAAAGTCATTGCTATATTTAAATCAATGCATAAACATTGTACACTACCCCTAATGTCATTTATATTAGCAGGACGGTTACGTATTGTAGTGTGGAATGAAAACGCAGCAGTTGAGCAACAGTGAGTCCATTGAGCTTTGTCCACATCCTGTTTGTGAGCCGGTGAGAGGTTCCCATGAAGGAAAGGTCGCTGTCATGTTTGGCTCCGAGCCAGTACAATCAGACGCTCCAAAACAATCAGAGGATTATGCAAACGGTATTCAGGGCAGGCGATTGTTCTGCTAATTTCCCATCTTTTTAATGTTTCCGCAGCTTAAAAACCTGAACTCTTTAAGAGAAAAACACCTTTTTAGTAGGACTCCTCAAACCATCTGCCTTTTGTGCACTGAGTAACAAACACTAGCCCTTTTGATACATCAATAATGAGTAATTGTTTCTGAAAAGATCATTTAGCCTCTCAATCTCGGCTCCCGCAGCTTTGGGTCTGTTTGAGTGTCAGACTCGAGAACCAAAGCCTCTTGGCGAACTTCCGTCAGCAATGTGATAATGACAGTCATGATGAGGCACATGATGTAACGGCATATTTCAGAGCTGTTGTCGGGGTGGAAGCTGTCCAGCGCGGGTTTGGAGCGAGGCCAGGCGCTCCATCAGCGCATAGATCGAAGATTACCACATGCTCTATTTACATTAGTCCCATCAGTGCTGTCAAAGCTCGCCACACCTTCAGATGACAACTGCAAAGCATTTTCCAGACCTGCTGCAGTCAGCTGAAGTCCTCAAGTGTGTGTGTAAGATTGTGTACTGTGTTTGTGTGGGTCTTTCTACCTCATTGTAAGTAATGAGTGTGTAGCCTCCAAATAAGTTTAAGAAGAGTTTTTTCCTCCAATAGTAAAGAGGATACGACTTTATTAGACATGAATGCTATCCATGTGGATGTCCTGCTTGCTACATTAAGAACAAAATAAAATGAGAAAAGATGCATTTTGTTTATCGACATTTTCCTTTTTTAAATGACTGCCAAAACAGTACTTGTCACTGAAGGCAGTGTCGGTTTTGGGGGGAAGTCTACGAGCGTGATGTGGGGTGGCATTGGCTCTGGAGGTAAAGTAGTCATCCACAAATCGGAAGGTCATTGGTTCGATCCTCTGCCCATGAAAGTCAAACAAGTCAATTTAACCCCAAATTGCTTCCGATGGCATGGTCAATGGTGTCTGAATGTATGTCAATGTAAGTGTCCTTGAGCACATGGCCCCTTGTATGGCAGCCTCTGTATTTATAAAGTACAGTCTATAAGGGGTTGTTATTGGCTGAATGCTGACTTGTATTCGTTAAGCTTTTTATCGGGTGGAAAAACTGGAAAAGCGCTGTAGAAATGCAGTCCATTCCCCATCCTAGTCCGAGTGTGAGGGTTAGGGTTGGATAGAGTACATGTAATATTGACATGGCAGAGTGGTGCAGTGCTCAGGTGTGTGTGTGTGTGTGTGTGTGTGTGTGTGTGTGTGTGTGTGTGTGTGTGTGTGTGTGTGGTGTGTGTGTGTGTGTGTGTGTGTGGTGTGTGTGTGTGTGGTGTGTGTGTGTGTGTGTGTGTGTGTGTGTGTGTGTGTGTGTGTGTGTGTGTGTGTGTGTGGTGTGTGTGTGTGTGTGGTGTGTGTGTGGTGTGTGTGTGTGTGTGTGTGTGTGTGCTGTGTGTGTGTGTGTGTGTGTGTGTGTGTGTGTGTGTGTGTGTGTGTGTGTGTGTGTGTGTGTGTGTGTGGTTCAGATGCAGGGTAGGGGCTCTGACAGGGGGGCCTCAGCAGCAGCAGTTGTGTCCGGGGCCCTCACTGCTCGCCAGGCTTTCAGCGAGCGGCAGGAACAGAGCAGCCATTGTAAGTCGGGGACGCTGAACGCCTTGTGACCAGAGCTGCCACTCCCTTTGTGGACAGAGGAGACCCCGAGCTGAGGGGGTGACTACAGGGAGGAACGAGGGGGGGTGAGGGGCTCCTGGTGGGAGGCTGTGGTGGTGGCAGAACATGCTCCCTCCTTTCCCACACAGACACAAGTGGCACAGCAAAAGGCATGGAAGATTGATTACACAGTCTGCGCTCTGATTGGCTCTCTCATGTGACAGCTCGAACACATGAGGAGGGAGGGGGGGGTGCGTCTCCTGTCTTCATTGTTGCCACAGTGAATACTTTATCCCTCACTTTGTTACTCAAGCAGAGCTGGAATTAGGAAATTAAAGCAGTGATGCTGTGGAAGCTCTCTAAATCTAGATTAAAAGTGTTGGTGCTTTTGTTCAAACTAATCTGTTCACTAATAAATCACAATAGTTTAACTGTAGTGTAACTATCAAATTAGATAACATTAACAATAAGTTAATGGTGGTACATTTCATCACACAAGTGATTGGATAACACTTTGGAGCTATGCTAGAGAAATTAAAATACAGGAATGGTCATGTAAGGAATTTACATTTTTGATTTGAGTTATTTAGGCAGGAGGACCCAATGATTTATGATTACCTTATGTAAGAGTATGTTTTTTGTTTAACACTAAAAAAGGTATTTCTCATCTTTTGATGAAATAAAAAAAAAAGTTTCTTAACAGTGATAGATTAAGTGATTTCAGTTTTAGTGCCAATTTAAGAGTTAAGGATATTTGGATTATCTTTTGTATACATCATGAATCACAATTATTGTGACAAAGATATTCTTGACACAAATTCCCTTGCAAATTCTGTAACACCAATAACTGGGTCGTCCGCTTAACATTAAATACAAAAATGTAAGTGCAAACATTTCAAGTGTATCTATTCATTAGATAAAAGAGTCCATAGTATTGAGATGTGTTAGACTGCCCCTAAATCGGTTCACTTCATTGTGACTTACTGTGGATTTGCTCAGTAGATTCAGACACTTTGAACCCAACAAATAAAAAGGAAAAAACGACTGCCAGGCTGATCAAATGCCAGACTCCCACCCCAGGTCTTATTCCATCCCTTTGCATATTTTCTTTAATCCCTCCCTCACATTATGTGTGTGTGGAGAAACCCAGTATCAGTTGAAAGCCATGTGTTCCTTATCAGAAAGCATCCTAAAAAGACCAAGCGGAGGCTGCTGTGTAAAATCCGGCAGGTTTCATCTATTTATTTTTCATTGCGAGACCAATCATCCCTTTTTATGTGACGTTTCCCTTAATGCCTTTCCTCAAATGCACTTAATCCAGCATCCGATCCAGCCAAATCGGTTACTCGGCTTTATAAGTGTATTTTTATAGGATTCTATAAAACCCCATCCTGCCATCAAATATTTTTTCACAAAAGTTCCCACAACCATATATTTTTCTCTCGCGATTTATTTAATGTAGTTAAATGTGCAGCAATTAATCCTCTTTATTGTTTTGCAGAGTGATCGTCTCCTGATCAAAGGAGGGAAGATCGTGAACGATGACCAGTCCTTCTGTGCTGACATCTACATGGAGGATGGAGTCATCAAGTGAGTTGACTGCTTTATTCAAGTCGCATCCTAGTTCAATCATAATTAAAACGTTATGATTGATTCACATGTATGACGTGGTTCAAAAGGTAAAATAAAATCTGGTGATGCATTTTATAAGTCAGGTCTAAATAGTCTTTCTTTGTTTATGACTAAATATCAGATGAGGTTTTGCCAGTATAATCTTTCCAAGTAATTTGTTCCCCCTATCTATGAAACATGTAGTCTCCAGCCTCTTGTGGTAAAAATGTGTATTACGACAACAAACACTTTAAAAATTATCCTAAAAAAACTATTATTATTTTGGAATTTTTTTAATTTTATTGTAGTTTTTTTTACACGTTTCCATTTCTTCCCTAAAAATGATCCATGAGTTCAATATTCTAGAGTACAGTTGTTCTTTACATTTGTCCTTTATTGATTTATATAAATAAACGTACCTATTGCTGAATTAGATTTTGTCTATATCATTTACATTACATCATTTACATACACATTACATTTCTTTACTATTGTGAATTTGTTCTTTTAATAATGCATGTGAAGAATTGAAAACCCATGTCAAGTTGTAATTTGTGTCGATCAAATTTAGTTTTAATTTATGACGTTTTTTTTCTTTTTTAGACAAATTGGGGAAAACCTCATCGTGCCCGGCGGGGTGAAAACCATCGACGCCCACGGCCGCATGTTGATGCCGGGCGGCATCGACGTGCACACGCGCTTCCAGATGCCGGATCGAGGCATGGTGTCAGCCGATGACTTCTACCAGGGGACCAAGGCTGCTCTGGCCGGAGGAACCACCATGATCAGTGAGTTATCAGAAAGATCCTACTGATGGAACATTAAACCTTCTGCCTTACTCGGAACACTTAATGCATACGGCAACTTTTTGACAAGGGTGTGATTTATTTATTTATTTTGGATTACGATCTCAGCTTTTATAGTCTATATTAAACTGTGTGAGTCAAGGCAAGTTTATTTATATAGCACCTTTCAATACAAGGCAATTCAAAGTGCTTTACAAAAATGAAAGACATTAAGAAAATGGCATTTAAAAGGAGATCAAAAAAATACATGGATAAAAGTTACAGTGCAGTTTAAGATATGAATAGTTCAATTAAAGCCAAAAGTACAGACAGCTAGGGCGTTCAGGACAAACGATTCCCCATTGAAACACATCAAAACCACCATTTCTGATCAGACAGCCATTACAGCATAAAACAAGCTTTCTGTTATATCTGGCGTTCAATCTAAAGCCCTGCCTTCAAAATTGTAGGTTTATAATACTATTTCCCACTAGATTGAGCCATTTTCTCATGTATTTGCCCAATAACCAGATTTGCTTCAGAAGAAATGCATTAAAATGAATGTTCTCCTTAAAAACACAGTGGCACTTAAAAGGAATAATATTTGGTTATAATCAGGACTGAAGTCAGTTACAATATTAGCTCTGTGAACGTGGAAAAAAATAACAATACTGTATATAACATTTCTATATCACAGGGTGTCCGCTGAGTCTTAAAAAGTATTTAAAGTTGATAAATCAATTTAGCGAAAATTAAGGCTATTAAAAAGTATTAAACGGCATTTTCCAAGGTATTACATTTTGTAGCTTGTTTTCAATAAGTATATCAATTGTCCAAAGAGGTTGCATTCTACAGTGTGCCTGAATGTAATCATTGCGTAGGTGTGTAGTGTGATTCTGTGTAGTTTATTTATGGCATCCTGTTGGATTTGACGTCATCTGAACAGGACATCGCACGCTCACTGCTTGATAGCGCGCGAAGGTCCATTTACGCCGGTTGTTAAACAACATCGTTATGGGGAAATGCAAGTTTGCGTCCAGATGGTTGGAAGATAAGGAGGAAGGACAATCAATACTGTGTATAGTCAATGTGAGGTAAAGTGTGTCGCCAATGTAACCGGGTTAAAACTCAAAGTGGCGATAAGGTCTTAAAATGTATGGAAAGGGTCTTAAAAAAGGTCTTAAAAGGTTTAACATTTGACTTCAGGATTCCTGCATATACCCTGTATCAGTACTTCCACAGGAATTTCTGTCAAGGGTTATTTCATCAGCTTGTTTGGAGTCTTTCTGTGAGTGATTTACCGAGGCTGACTGCTCCTTCATTCTCTGATTGGCTTTAATTACAAATATTTAAATGAGAACAGGACTGGTGCCAGGTCTGTTATTGACCGGGCCAACATTTAAAACCGTCCATCTGCTCTGAGACTGACTTCTGTTCACACTCAGACAGGAAGTCAGTTCATTTCCCCTTTGACCCATAGATACCATCAGCCTGACACTGTTTATTTAAACAACCGGTTTGTATTTTTGTCCTTCATAAATGTTATGCTTCATGTTTTTGGGGTTGTAATCCAGTTTGCATGATGTTTTGTGATAGGGCCATTTTTTATAAAATAATACAATAATTAAGAAGCCGGGAAACGTTTTATTATAACATTTCAGAGATAAGAGATGGTTTTTTGTTGGGTTTTTATTTTATTTGTTTCTCGCAAATATACGACTTTATATTACGAGACTCTATATATATTTTTGTAAATTGACAACTTTAAACTTAAATGTTTTCATCTTCGAATATAACCCCCCCCTTCCCTTGGCTCTTTTTTTTTTTACAACAAAAAATAATATTACAATGCCATAGTTATTAGTTATCGTGTAGAGTTAACTAGCGTAGTTGTTTAAACTGGTGACCTGCTCATGTATTCTTCCTTTACTTATATCCTTATTTATAGACCAATTGTTAGGTTATTTAAGACTTAAAAGTATTCCACCCTATATAGATTTGGTATACATTGAATACATAGGTTGATTCGATGAGGAGATTTGTCAGTACATTTTGTTTATATACTATCAGTCCCTTACTAGCAGTTCCTGTGTACGTTGTTTTAATAGGACAGAGGACTGTATAGACAACACATTTAAATGAAGCTCGGCCCTCCTCTGTGCTGACTCAGCAAATGAACCCTCCCTCTCAGTAAAACAAACTCTCCCAGGCTCTCGTGTGTCATTGCCACCTCAGAGCGTAAACGCTGACTGCTGCAGGATCAGGCCTGCAACACGGCCGTAACGCATGGCCGAACGGGACTGCACCAAAAACACAAAGAGGGTCAAAGTGAGCGTTGGAAATGTCCTCTGAGAGATGAGACGGAGACAAACGTTTAACATGTAGAATGTTAGAAAATGTAGAAAATCAAACATTAAGAGGAAACTCCATGATGTTCTGTGTGGTCCAGACTTTAACCCTCTGAACCCCGAGGAGTTTCAGGGCGTTTCCGCCTCCTGTCACATTATACTCTGCAGCCTCGTTTGTCACTGCAGTAAATGAGTCCTGCACCGCCTGTAAAACTGCACAATCATGGCTATAAGAAGGAGAACACATTGCTATGGTGCAGTATTACGTCGTTTAATGCTCTAAAAGGTTTCATTTTACAATAATTGGACAAAAAAGAAACAGGGACTCCACAAGCTTTACTTGAACTATTGACATTTCTACACCCTTTACTTCAAACCTCTCTTGTCTTCATTGATCCGTTTTTCTCTTATTTTTCTTGTGATTATTGGATTTAATGTATCGTTTTTACAGAATCTTTTTAATGCATCCTGTTTATTTTTGCTGCCATTTTAAATGGGACAGGTACAATACATTTCTTTGGATGAAATTGTACTTTTTTAGCTAAGAGTTGGTTGTATTTCCTGAATCAAGGCTTTATTACACATTGATTGGACTGTTGTGAATTGTAAAATATGCAAATAATTGATGTCTTTGCAGTTTCTGGCTCAGATGAATGGCGTGATTTCAGATTTTGTTTTAAGAAAACATGCTTGTCAATCCTCCTGTGGATTTTGGGTTTCAAACTAATCCAAATTCCGTCTAAACTCAAGAGATCTGATGTGAGCCGTCAGTCTGAACATATATTCAAAGTAGTTTCACAAAAAAGGAAGTTAGAAGCTCTTGGGACCACATAGCATAACTTGACTTATCTCTGGAATGATTAACTGACAAGTTTACTAATAAAAAAAATACACTTTTACAATTGATTTAATACTGACTGGTTCTGGCTGCTTAGCATGATAATTGGCTAGTAAATTGAATATTCCATTCTTCTATCTACTGCAATCTTTAGAAATGTCGAGACATGGTCTTGGAAATTCTGATGTTTACTATGAACTACTTTTTTGAAGTTTTAAAGACTAAAATAGTAAGTAATTAATTTGACAGGTTCACAGTGAAATTGGGTAAAAATATTTGGGATTTGTATCCCCAATGTAGAAAAGCACATAGTTTACAGGCCTACTGAAGGACCACACATCAGCAGATGGGAGCTGAAAATAGTTGTTCTCTGTGTGGTGGAAACCATGAGCAGATGGAGCAGATGATGGTTTGTAATGACAGGAGTCATGGATCTGGTAATCCTCGAGGATTCATATCAAGGGTAATTTGAGAATAATCAGGAACATATCTGATCAGGTGTCAACTTTAATTTGTCTCTTTTTGGTTTGAAGTGCCGTTGCAACCTAAAATAAATTGCTGTCTGGAGAGTGATTAGTGAGCAGTACATGAACACAATGTTAGTTTAGTTCTCCACTGGTGACTAATAGGGATGCCAGCGATTATTCGATTTTTAGAATATTCGTTACAGTCTCCATAATCTAAAATAATTTTTAAAATTCGATTTTATTTATATATTTTTTTATTATTTTTTATGGTTTTTTTCCCTGCATCCTTCCTTATCACCTGCATCTCCTCCTAGAGCACCATTGTGTTCTTTTTAACCAAATATCTCTCAGAGGGGCGTGGGGAGGGGCTCCTTATTTTCATCTAAAGTAACAGACACAGAATCAGCCCTTTTGAAACAGGGCTGAAACAGAGGGATTTATGGGATGCTGCAATGCATGATCTGTTTGGCTCAATCAATGTGTGTGTGTGTGTGTGTGTGTGTGTGTGTGTGTGTGTGTGTGTGTGTGTGTGTGTGTGTGTGTGTGTGTGTTGTGTGTGTGTGTGTGTGTGTGTGTGTGTGTGTGTGTGTGTGTGTGGTGTGTGTGGTGTGTGTGTGTGTGTGTGTGTGTGTGTGTGTGTGTGTGTGTGTGTGTGTGTGTGTGTGTGTGTGTGTGTGATGTGTGTGTGGTGTGTGTGTGTGTGTGTGTGTGTGTGGTGTGGTTGTGTGTTGTGTGTGTGTGTGTGTGTGTTGTGT